CCCCCCACCAACGACCACCCTCCCCTCCTCCAGATCACAGGGACAGCGCCACACCCAGTCCCTCTGAGACCACCAAAAGGTGCCAAACCCCTCACCACCAGGTGCCCTGCAGACCTCAGAGCTGTTCCTGTGCGCACTGCTCTCATGCAGATCCAGGCTCTAGCACTGACTCCTGGGCCTAGGCTGCATGGTATAAAATTCACCACTTAACCACGCTGAGGTCCTGCACACATTCACAGTGTGCTCACTACCCACATTATATGCGTCCCAAACTACCTCATCACCCCAAACGGGGAGCTGGTCCCCACAGAGCGGGAGCCATCCTCTCCCTCTGCAGTACTCCCAGCCACCATCCCTGCTGGCTCCATGAACTGCTCTGGGTGTGTTGTAAATGCTCAGCCACACAGCACCTGCCCCTCGGTGTGGCTAACCAGCACAACCCTAAGGCCACCCCAGGGCAGCAGATCTGTTTATCTACATGTCCACAGGTGGACACTTAGCTTGGGGACCATATTGCTTCACTCAGGTGCACACCTGTCTGTGAGGGTCGCTGCCTTCAGGTCCTTTCTGCAGACACAGGAGTGGGTTTGCTGGGTAGAATCTGCAATCTGTGTTCACTTGTGAGTACCACAGTACAGGTGTCCCTCTGGCTTCCTGTGCTGCATCCCACTGATGTGCACTGTGTTGGCATGGCCTCAGCTGCACTTGCTCTTTTCTAGAGTCTTTTTCTTTTACAAAATGGGGATCTGACCCAGGGCTTTGGACATGCTAGGCAAGTTCTGTACCACTGAGCAACATCCCAGCCCCCTCTTTAAGATTGTGAGACAGGGTCTGGCTGGCTGAACTGCCTAGGCAGGACACCACCTTTCAGTCCTCTTGCCTGGGTCCCTCAGGGCTGGGGTGACGTGTGCACCACCACACCCAGCGCTTCTCTTCACAGGGGCTGTCCTTGTGCGTGTGAAGTGCTCTCCATCTGACTTGCATTTCTCTAAGGATCTCTGACGTCAGGCAGGGAATTTTCCAGGTGCTTGCTGGACACTTGTGTGTGTTCTCTGGAGAAAAGTCTGTTCAAATACTTTGCTCATTTCTGAATGTGGTTGCTGTTTTTATGATGTGTGTGTGTGTGTGTGTGTGTGTGTGTGTGTGTGTGTGTGCGCCTAGGATTGAACTCTGGCCCTTGTGCTTGCAAGGCAGGTACAGACACCAGAATCACTGAGCTAAGTGCCCTGGCCCTTGCTGTGTTCCCATGGAGATGGTGTGGAAGGTTCTGGGGTTCTTGAAAGGAGCCATGGTCCCTGAGGTCCCAGCCCTGCTCCCTCCGCACTGGCTCATCAGCTCATCTTCCTCATAAGCAGGGGAGGAGCCTTGGGTCTGCAGCTTGTACGAAAGTTTTTATGATTTTTTAAAAATATTATGCAAATTAATCTTAGCCAATTTACAAATATTTTCTTCACACTGGCTTTTTCAGTTAGTTTCTAGACAGCTTATCAGAGTCACAGGTGAAAACACCTCATCCACAGGCTGTGCTTCTTCCCAGGCCCAGGACTTACTGTCCAATTGACTGGGTTTTGCAGAAAGACTCCTGTGATCCCTGAGACGTGGCTCGGGGCCGACCCAGCTGGGTGTCTGCCTGACAGCACTGTCCAAGTCCTCACCTGAGATGACCACAGACCCTCGGCAGGTCTCTCAGTGGCACGCGTTACTCCTACTGAGGGACCCAGGGTCATCACCGGGGACTCAGCGCAGTATCTGGAAGGTGTGCAACTGGTAGATTTTGGGGTGATTGCTGGATCTGCTGCTAAGTGCCACATTCGCTGAAGGGACAGTGCCAGCTCTGTCCCCACCTCACTGTCCGGCAGGAGTGCCAGCACTGGGCCAGGAGAGGTAGGACAGCCAGTGGGAAGGACATCAGATTTGGTCCACAAGCCAGCCCTGGGAAATGGCCAGGCTGTCATCCTCAAGTCCACATCTCAGAGAACTCTGGGGGCACAAAGGCTGCATGGACAGAGGTGGTGTTGGGGATTCCACCCTGGGCCTTGTGCTTGCTAAGCAAGAATTCTCCCAGCAAACCACATCCTTGGCCCTTTTTACTTTTGAGACAGGGTTTTGCTATATTGCCCAGGCTGTCTTCAAGCTAGCGATCCTCCTGCCTCAGACACCCAATAGCTGGAAATTCAGGTGTTCACCACTGCACCAGAAGAAGGCTTTTACAAGGAGGGAAAGGAGCGAGTCACAGTGTGTGCTAAGTCACATTCAGGATCCTATCCAGCTCTGCCATTCAGTGTCCATGGCCTACACATGGGTTACCTGAGAACATCAGCCTTCCTGGGTTCTGTAAATCTAGAGAAAAGTCACTAATTAGTCAGCTTCCTGACTCATGTCTTATAGTTCCTAGGAAAAGTTTAAGGGAGAAGGGAGAGCAGAAATCAACTTGAGCCGGGGAACAGATGACCTTTTGTTAGGTGGCTTCAGTCAGAGTTCTCATTTACAGCAAACCTGGGAGAGACGAGGAATAAGTATTGCTCAGCCCTGTAGCCTCAGAACTTGTGATGTTTGGGGCTGAGGATGTAGCTCAATGGCACTGCACCTGCCTGGTAAGTGCAAGGTCCTGAGTTACCTGGCAATGCAAAAAAAAAAAAGTGTGATGTTTTCAAAAAATTGTACTTTTTTTTTTATTTTGAGACAGGGTCTCACTTTGTAGTTGACTGATCTGGAACTCACTATATAGCCAAGGCTGGTCTTGAACTCACAACAATTCTCCTGCCTCAGCCTCCCAAGGGCTGGGATTACAAGCATGCACCACAACACCCGGCTGAAAAATTGTACTTTTATACAGAACTGAGGATTGATTCCAGGATCTCATTAAATCGCTACGTTGCCCAGGTAAGATTCACACTTGTGGTCCTCCTGCTTCAGCCTCTGAAGTAGCTGAGATTATAGGTGCCTAGCAGTGATTTTGAAAGCCCAGTAGGGTTTACAGGAAATGGGCTTGCAGCAGTGCCCAAAAGCCATGCTCTGGGAGGTTCAGGCAGCCCTCCAGTGGCCAAGGAGACAGGGGCAGGGCTCATGTGTGTCACCCTAGCTGAAGGAATCTGACCACTGCATCTGGGTCTGAGCAGAGACACTTTTATTTGGTACTGGGGATCGAACTCTGGTCCTGGCGCTTGAGAGGCTGCCGGAGCAGTGGCACCATTGAGCTAAATTCCCCGCCCCCTGGGCCTACAGTTTAAATCCCTTCCCTGCTGTGCTTCACACTTGCTGCTGACATCCTCATGGGTGGATGAGGCCCAGTAAGCACAGCTCGCTCTCTAATTCCCAATCATGGTCCAGCCCTGCTCCTGACCACACACAGCTCTGTGTCCGTCCTCAAGCCCTGTCAGGGAGGACAGCCACAGCTCCTTTGTCCTGAACTCTCCCCCTTGAAAGTCACATTGTGACTTTTTCCTTCCACAGCTACTCTTCTTTATGCTCACGACCCTATAAAGACCGTATAGCATGTTTGAGAGTTGCAGGTCTGGTCTCTAGTGCCAGAGTGGCCCCTCCCAGGTTTGTTCTGAAATTAACCTGTACTGTTGAGCTCATACCCCTGCTTCTTTTCTTGTCCTGACACCAGCTACACGGGAGGCTGTGGCAGGAAGATCGAAAGTTCAAGGTCTCCTGGGCAATTCAGCGAGACCCTATCAAAATAAAGCTTTAAAAGGCAAGGAGCTACGTAGTCGAATCCTGGTCTAGGTGTAATCCTCAGTACTTCAAAAAGAAAAAAAAAAAAGGTGTGGTGGCGCACGCCTATGATCCCATCACTCGGGAGGCGAGGCAGAATTGCTGTGAGTTCAAAACCAGCCTGGGCTACATGATGAGTTTCAAGTCAGTCTCAACTACATAGCGAGACCCTGTCTCAAAAAAAACAAAACAAAACAAAAAACCCCAAAAATGGCTTGGAGCGCGACACATGCGCGAACTCGCTCAGTTTGGGCTGTCTGTGCATGCGCCCAGCGCCGTCTGCCCTGCGCCTGCGTAGACCCCTGGATTCACGGCTGCGACTTAACACTGGCTGGCCAGGCCCCTGCCCACGCGAGAGCTGGGCCGAGTC